AGATGTCCCGGAACTGAGGTTTAACTGTCCTAGGTGAGAACTGCCAGGCCAGTCAGTAGGCTGTCAGCCTTGGACAAGCCATGTTCCTATCCCCGCCAAGGAAGGCTCTAGACTAGCCCTTGCTCTTGCAGGCAGTACATCCCTCTGTGTCACTGAAACTCCTCTTTGCATCAGAAAAAGCCACACACACACACACACACACACACACACACACACGCACGCGCGCACGCGTGTATCACATTCATACAGGAGGTTCCAAGAAAAAGGGCTACAAAAGCTGATCAATACATGGAAAGGTCACCCTCACGCTTAGGGGAAGGGGTGCTACTGGCATGACCTACTCCACTAGGCCAGCAACGCCAGAACATAAGTGAGCTGGAGCACTGGCCAGAGCGTATCCACTGCAGCCCACTAGAATCTGAGGATTTACCTACGTAAACCCAAAAGTTTAAGAACGTAAGGGATCTATTTTTAAAGACTAGAGAGGGGGCCCTTTAACGATACTATCTATTTCATTATGTACATACTGGGCCCAAACATATCGTATCTAGCAATGAAAATTGGACAATTAAACTTCTCCTAATGACCAAACAACCCAACAAAGGCATCCTGCCTTCAATATATTTTTATTGATTTGAGAGGAAGGGAGAGAGAGATAGAAACATCAATGATGAGAGAGAATCATTGATCGGCTGCCTCCTGCACGCCCCCTACTGGGGATCAAGCCCACAACCCGGGCATGAGCCCTTGACGGGAATCAAACCCCGGGCCCTTCAGTCCATAAGCCATGACGCTCTCCACTGAGCCAAATCAGCTAGGGCTTATCTTGCCTTTAGAGCAGTGGTTCTCAACCTGTGGATCGTGACCTCTTTCACAGGGGTTGCCTAAGACCATCGGAAAACACATATATAATTACATATTGTTTTTGTGATTAATCACTATGCTTTAAATGTTCAATTTGTAACAATGAAAATACATCCTGCATATCGGATATTTACATTACAATTCGTAACAGTAGCAAAATTACAGTTATGAAGTAGCAACGAAAATAATTTTATGGTTGGGGGTCACCACAACATGAGGAACTGTATTAAAGGGTTGCAGCATCAGGAAGGTTGAGAACCACTGCTTTAGAGGGGCTTTTCCTTAGCCAGTCCAATGCATCACCCCATAAAACCCTCATCTCAAAGTCCACCAGAAGCCAGAGGCTTTCCTGTTCTCAGGCACATAGACTATTGCTATGACTATTCCTAGATTTAGAACAAAGTTTTTAAAGCTGAGATTCATATCCTTGAGACCCTCTGCCCCTAAAAGACTGTGAACAAAAGGGGCCACATGCTAACCTGACAAGCTCAGGGGATGTCAACTGTTAATTATGTAAAACTATCCTGTACGCATCTGTGTAAAAGAAGCACAAGTTCATCATTTCACTTTTTACCCTACCCCAGGTTTCCCTGATTTGCTTTATCCCACCTCCTTAATCTATCACCAGTGAATTGCATGTAACCCACCTACATCCCTTTCTTTTTATTGCAATGTGTAAATACTGCATCCCTTTCCTTTGATTGCAATGTGTAAATACTGATATAACCTGCCATTCTCCAGAGCATTATCTCAATTTGTTGAGGTTCTGCTTCCTGGCATATGTTGACAGTTTGGCTCAAATAAACTCACAAAATTCTTTACAGGTTTCAATGGTTTTTTACATTAACAAGGCAAATACTGTCCCTTCGCCCCCGTGTGACGGCCTGTCTGTTCAGGTTCTAAGGAAAACAGGTGATCCCAGCAGCCAAACAGAACTGCACTGAGTTCTGCCTTCAGGACTCGCCACGTTCCCAGCATGTCTCAGAGTTCTAAAATACCTGCCCCGTGGCACAGTGACACAGGCAGGAAACTCGGTCCACAGGTGCTACAAGCCCAATAAGACAGCAGGCATGGCCAAGCAGAAGCCACTTCCAGTAACAGCACAGTCCCTGAGTTTCACGGCTCCGATCTGAAACCAGGAATGTACCCTGCCACCTCTGTACTTATATGCACAACTGAGATTTGGGCAAATGCTCAAGGTGGCAACTCTGAAAGCAGGACACTTCCATTTGCAAGCCTCCCTAGAGGTTGGCAATAGGTAGGCGGAAAAACTGCCAATGGCCTTTAAGAAAAATCACATTACATTTGGTATAAATTAATTTTCTTGGAAATCCCATAAGAAAACTGTTTTTATAAAGCAGTAATTTTCTCCAGCCTGGTTTACTCTTAGGTGAAGAACATACCAGGAACATGCCTCCCAACCTACCAGGACCATGCCCATCAACATTCTAACACTGTAGTGTGGAAGAGAGACTATTCCAAGAAGGGGACCATGGCCTGACTGATGCCGGACCTTCAGCTAGATCCAGCTAGATCTGGGGAGAACAGAGATTACTTCCCAATAAATCCCCTCATAGACCCTCAGATCCCTTTCCTAGGTTCCAAATGTGCTGGTTCCTGGAACCCGCCCTTGCTCTGCCCTGGGCAAGTATGTCATAAGGTGTTTTCCCGTTATCAGGGCAGGTCATACCCCAGTACCCCTTTCCACCCTGCCCTGTCCTATGTAATTCTTTAGCACCTGCCACATGGTGGAGATGATAGCTATGTCGTCTTGCCAACGCCCAAGATGTGCCTCCTATTTAAGTTCTCAATGTAACGATGTTGTCAGCCTTTCTTTGGCCCCCAGGAAATTTTGTATAACAAATTTAAAACCGACACTCCTGGCCCATGCTCACCAATATACTAACAGCATGTCCACCAACATACTAGGACCACGTGTACCAATATACTAGCACAAGTGCCCACCGACTTAGGACTGTGGCCATTGACTGTCAGCACAACTTGGAGTCCCCGCACCCAAATTTAATTTTCAGCCAAGCACCCTTCTTGTACTACTTATGGCAATCTTCAGGGGATTCAGACACTGCTGCCTACACAGAATTTTATCACTATGTTTTTTGTATGAGTCAGCCTCTGCTGATTCCTAATAAGCTGGTCTGGAAAGGAGCTATGAGTGAAATTTTTTAAACCACAATTTGTCTCCATAAACGGCACTGGGGAGCTCAAACAGCAAGCAGGAAATTCTCGTTTCCCTCCACGTGGGTGCCTCCCCAGAGAAAGGGGATATTGCTCAGCTCCACCGGATCTGAATGGACCAGGTGGGGAAGCGGATCGCCCACAAGCGAAAGGGTGCAAGAACCACGCTGTCTGTCACTGCGGAATTCCCAAGGTGATGTGTAAACGAATGAATGAGAAGCACGTGGGTTCCAGACCTTAGCCTAGAACCGCAGCGATGGCCTGGGGATTCCAAATGGCCCGGGGTTTTGAAGATGGCCGGGGGCCCGGGGATGAGGGATAGCCCGGGGTCCCCCCACCCCACCCAGGCGGGTCCCGCGGTGGTACTCACAGACGCAGAGGCAGGCCACGAGCTTGGC